GAGGGAGGGGGAAAATGAGGACCTAATGTTGGGGGTTTAAGTGGAGAGAAAATGTTTTGAGAATGAAGTACAAATGCGCTTTACACAATTGATGTGTATATGGATTGTGGTAAGAGTTGTATGAGCCTCTAATAAAATGTTTAAACAAACAAACAAACAAAAAAGAATGGATACAATTTTGCTTAAAGCACATTGGGAGAGCTGGGCCTCAGAAATATTAATACTATGTTGTTAGATGTTAAGCCAGTCCTAATTCATCGTATCCCTATCTAGAACAGAATAGTCTGATCCTGTGCGAATCGCACTCTCATACATGCAGTCACTGTTAATCAATGTCTTCAGGGTTTTCACTTTTTGTTCACACACTAACAACAATTCCAAAGTACACGAGCCGCCTCGCAATCTTGCTGCCAGGCTGCCTTCGGACCCAGACACCTACCAAGACAGACTCCTTCCGGCAGGACACAGTGTACTCAAGCTTCTTTGCCGACACCATAATTCAAGTGCATCAACCCTTTGCACATCTTCCTTACTCACTGTCCGGCTTTCACCTGGCTGTGAGACTACAAACACTGGCTTGGATCAGGATTACAGTGACATCTTTCCTTAACACTTGTAACAGGAACTTTGGCAGCAGATCTGCTGATTTTACTTCGCTTTAATAGGCTTTTTACAAACTGTCAAGCAATTAGAACCTTAGTAATGAGACACATGGATCAAATTGTAGTATCTTTTTCCCTTTACCCTCCCTGTTTTGCCACTCATAAAATGTTAAAAAAAAAAAATTGTAGTATCTTTGATTATCACCACAGTTAAGAATTTCAAAATCAAAATTTAAATGGCTTATGATCTAAGGATCATCGGTTGAACAGTTTGTACCAATGCGTGTGATCAGCACGGGGAACGGAGAGTGAAGACCAACGCCGTAAGGAAAGGGTAACTTATGCACACCCTTCCACCATCTCCATACTACTACTAATAAAAAAAGCAGACATTGAGATTAAACAGGCAAGTTTTATTATCAAATGTAACAATTCTACAAAAATTCAGTAGTATTGTAGGAAGTATTACTGCCTAGCAAAGCTTCAGGCAGACAGCACTTAAAGGTATCACATATAAAGAATTTCTTTCTGATCTTAAGTGCCATTTTTTACACAAATGGTTTTCATTTTGCTTTTTGTCTTCCCTAATGAAGTTAGAGGAAGGGCCACTGCAAGTCAGCTGAAGAGGGCAATGTTTGGCTCTCCACTCGAGGTGTTCATCAAAAAGAATGCTAACTAAGTGAAAATAGCAGCCACAGAAATATGCATCGCATTGCATCCAAGCAAAGAACAATGGAGTAACTTAAAAAAAAATATGTGCACTTAATCAAATCCCATTTTCTCTTTGGAATTACATGAGGCAGTAGTACTAACTAGCTGGTGTCTAATATTGCACTTTTGTAGCATAAACACAGCTAAACACATAGTGCTGAACACTGACCGCATCAGTACCTGCTCACAAACTGCATCAGTGTTTACCTCTAAGTCTAGCACGCTGACCATATTCCTAATGTGTTTACGTTTTCATTGACAGCTAAGGCATCAGAGGAAAAAGTTTAAGGCTATCTTACTATATACAAGCTTTCACTTCAGTTAGTATATTGCCTTCTATAAGTCTCATTTTCTGTGATATTAAAAACTATGCAGTTTTTCTCATTAAGGTCTAAACCATCAACAACGAAAAAAGCACAATATAAAATAATACATATGAAGCCACAATATTCAGTTACAGTTCAAACTAAATGACTAACTACATGTAGCTGCTTCATTTTTGGTTTTGCATTTTGGCCCGTAGGTCATTCTTAAACTGCTGACAAAGAGATCCAACTTGATAACCCGGATGCTTTTTCCATAGGGGACATGGTTTCTTGTCATTGATTCTACAGTGTTTACACAAAAAAACAGTTTCGACTGGTTTTTAACTATGAGATATCCTGAAAATTATTGGTCAAGAGACTGAGGATTTAGTTTTATTTCATTTCTTCTCATAAATTTGTGATTTAAATAGTCTAAGACCATATTCTTGAATTACTTATTTAGTAAGACGCATTAAGTGTGCAGAAGACAGGGATGGAGAGAAAGACGGGTATGCAAAAAAAAATAAAGCTTTCATAACAGAGTTCATTGTAAAGATGGTAGACGAGAGTGGAGTATTTTTTTTCTTTTTTCTCCAAATACCTAAATCTTAGGAAGCATCTATGATGCCACTTTAGCTGGAAGTCATCTCATTTCAAATTCACATTTTAAATACCTATTTTGCAATCAGCAAGGAGCCAAGTATGCTGCATGCTGCTTCCTAAGGATTTGGCTTCATTGGCTCAAATTTTTCACTCCACCAAAAGACAGGGCACACAGGTCCTCTCTTCCAATCATTTTTTGCTGACAATACTGTAGCCTGAGTATAGACAAACTTCCCCTGAAGTTGCTGGAAGTTTTCTTGTGTTGGACAGTAGCAGGATCACCATACATCTTTCAAACACTGGGAGAAAAGAAAAAGAGCAAAAGAAGTCTTAGCAGCTACAAAAAAATGATTTAAAATTCCAATAGGATTTAATACGCCCC